CCAGACGAAGAGGTCAGCGTTTTTGAGGATTTTTGTTTCGAGCTGTTGCCGCAGCTCTGGAGTCAACTGTTTGCTGATCTTCGTGGTTTTCTCGGGGAGTTTCCCGATCTGGAGGTCATCGAGCTCGTCAACGGGGCTGGGCCGTTCGTCGTGAGCATCGGATCTCGGATCAAGGTCGGAGACTTCTTCGTGGCTGGTGTGAGCCGCAGTGGTGGTGTTGCTCTTGCATTGTTCACCGAGTGGGGAAACTTTCAGGCTTTCAGTATAGCATTGTTGTCCCACCTTTTGGTTTGCCTTGACGGAGATAATCTTACCATCATGTCCTGGGAACTTCATGGTGAGGTGCGGGGTAGACACCACCGCTCCGAGCTGATTCAAGATTGGCCTGCCGATGATGATGTTATAGGAGGTGTCGGCTTCCACGAGGAGGTACCGAACCATGACCCGCCTTGAATTCGGAGGTGCTCCGAAAGTGGTTAGTAAGTCCACGTATCCCCGGGTGTGAACGCTCCTTCCTGCAAAATCGACTAGGGGTTCTGTGTGAGGTTGTATGAGAGAGTGGGGAATGTCTAACCTGAGGAACGTTGGCCAATATAGGATGTCGGCCGAGCTCCCTTGGTCGACCAGGGTCTTGTGAACCTCCCAATTAGCTAACGCCACGGCTATAACCATGGGGTCATCCTGGTTGGGGTTGACCCCGGCATAGTCGTCGTCGGTGAAAGTGATCATCGGCGAGCTCTGATGTGAAGCAGAGGTAGTGAAGTGTATGCGGTTGACGTTGCGCAGGTGTTTTTTCCGGGCCGAGCTGCTGGCGCCCCCTCCTGCGAAACCTCCTGCGATTGTAATGACTGCTCCCCGCAGGGGAGTTGATTCTGCTTCCTGGTTTACCTCGCCTCACATTGCTCCGCCGGGGTTGAGCTGAGAGCCAGAGGGGTGATCAGAGTGTTGCCGTTGGGGTTGAGCGCGAACCCTCTTGTTTTCCGCGCACAGAGCCGCTAGGTCAACTTCGTTAGTGGTTCTTATTGCGGCCAGGTCAGCTTCGTACTTGGCACTCATGTTGCGCAAGTCAATGTCATGTTGCTGGCGCATCTGTTCGACTTGGTCGATCAGCCTTCTCAAGGTTGCAGCGTCGCCGTCCATGGTGACTAAGTGTTCAACATCCTTTGTTGCACGTCTGTTGTGGCTTCTGGTGAATACCATACGGGTGGCCAATAAGAGCTGTCTCGATTGTTCCCACGGTGGGCGCCAAATGTTCTTACCGGAATTTGTCGTAGGGACGATCTTCCAAGTAAGATTGGTGAGCCTCCTTCACTGGTACGCTGATGCTCCAAGATGGGGGTGGTACCTGCAAAAGAGACTCTGATGCTAAAGTTAGGGTTTGTCTAAGTAATAGTCTCATATAAGTAATGCATGTACCTTGGAGTGAATTAGGGTTGCCTTGGGCTCTGGGCCTATGATAAGATATGATAGCGAATTTCGTCTGGGGCGAGATCTTCGGTAATCAGTGATTAGATAATGGATCTCGTATGGGCGAGATTCTCGGGAATCAGTTGTGATTCACTTGAATGTCGAGCTGACGTCGTATGACGCGTGCCCGAGATCATCTGGCACTGTGATGCCGAGCTGACGTCGTATGACGCGTGCCCGAGATCATCTGGTACTGTGATGCCGAGCTTGGAGCTCGGCTTCGCGGTACCGTCAGTACAAATAATAATAATAATAATAACAACAACAACAACAACAACAAAATTACCACTACATCCTCCCTTTTCTTTTTTATAAAATAATTAAAATAATCAAATAAACTTCCTCCTTTTTAATTAAAATAACACATACTTAACTTTAATAAAATACATTTCACAAAAATTTATCACATATCAAATAATCAAATATTAATTAAAAATCATTCTTTATATTATAATAGAGCTCACATAAAATAGATAAATAATATAAAAATATACTTCTCCGTTTTAGTAAAAATAACATATGTTTTATATATAAAAAAATAAAGCTCATATCAAATAGCTAAATAATATTAAAAATCCTTCTAATAAACACATTAAAATATTAAAATAAATACCACGTATTATTAATTTAATTTTATAAAAATCGAGGTGTTACATTGTCTCTTTTGGTTAGACAAACCCCTAAATCCATGTGTTCTCCAATAACCTCATCCCACACATATACAATCAAGAAAAAACATGAATGCATCAAAATATATTACAGGATAATATATATAACTTAAAGTGAAACAAGCTAACATTGTGAGGCCAATATAATAGCATAATCACATTTAGGTAGAATGCACAAACCATGGTTATAACCTTAGCCAAAAGCTTATATGAGTTAATCCATGCATGAAAACATAATGAATTCATAAAATCATCCCCTTTGGATTGACAAATCCCTAGATCAATATGTTTTCTAATAACCTCATCCCATAAATATACAATTAAAACAAAATATGAATCCATCATAATATATTACAATACTAGATATAACTTAAAGAGAAAAAAACTAACTTTGTGAGGCCAATATAATAGTACATTCACCTTTGGGTATAATGCACAAACTAAGGTCGCAACTTCAGTCAAATCCTTACATGGGTTAATCCATGAACCACATAATGAGTTCAAAAAATTGTCCCCTTTGGGCAAACAAATCCTTAGCTTAGTGTGTTCCTTAATAACTCTATCTATTTTTAACTTTTAACCCAAACATACTACCATCCCCTTTAGATAGGAAATCACATGTAATGATCAAAAGTATTCCTCAAAATTACAAAAAAAAAAATCTCATGGACTAATACAAGTAGTCCCACTTTGGTGGTAACAACTTATAACAATCCATGACAATTATTACACAAGAATCAATTTTCTCTTGTCCAAAATCATGACTTACTCAACAGGCAAATGCATCATTAAATAGCATTCTTACTAATCATACACCAACCATTAATAACATTCATGATTTTATAATTACACAATTTCCAATTTCTTAAAATCTTAACTATATAAATATGTTGAAATTCATCGGATCGAAAAAAGATAAAATTCAACAACCTTGAAATGTTAAAGAAATTACACATTTCAAACATATAAATTACTCAAGGAACTAGGCATTTTTCCATTATTGTGAGAATTTGGATTCCAGTCCCAACTATTCAAATACAATCTAAGAGCATCTACAATGGGAGTTACCTATAAGCAACTCCCAGCCACTTTAAATAAGTTTCATTGTGCCACGTCACTCATAAGCAATTTATACTATACTTTTACAATTTTTGTTCCAATGAAAATTGCTTATAAGCACCCCTACTTTTTTACAACTTATACTACACTTTTTGACAACTCACACTACACTTTATGATAAATTTTTAAAAATTAATTATTTTAAATAATATATAAATATAAATAATAAACAAAAGAAATCACATAATTAAAACATTACAATAATAAAAAAAATTATAAAATAAAAAATATTACCAAAAATAGTCTAATTTTATAATAATATTTATTCTCCTAGTCTAATTTGCGTAAATTCAATTACAATAAAAATAGTCTAATTTGCGATAATTAAAATTACAATAATATTTATTCTCCTAATTTGTACCTAATAAAATATTATTTAAATTTATAAAATTTATGAATTTATTTTGATATCTTTTAGAGATTGAAATTAGGGTTTAAGGTTTTATTTTTTGATTCTCTATATATAGAACAAAATCAAAAAATACAAAATTTAAATACTATAATCTTTCTAAATAAACAAATTTCTAGAAGATTCAAGCAATATGTGACTGTAGCAGTAGTAGCAAAAATCTTTGCATACATAGCACTACATAAGCATAAATGGATTCCCATAGGCCAATATATACATTCAATTGAAATAAAGTCACACTCATTAGCTCAACTCTAACAATTAACATCAATTAAAACTTGCACATAACAAATAATAATTAAACCACACCACACAACTATAACATAAGTGTTAATTTAAGTTTTGTAATCCTGTGTGTTTGTTCGATGCAATTTCTACGTCAATTTAATTAACAACTAAATTGCAATTGTATAATTTAGGTAATTGATGAATAACAATTATAAAATATTTTCTCTATTATATAGAATTATCCAATAAAATTCATGGATGAGATCAAAGGTGAAACAAATTCAATGCAATTATATATACTATTCAAGTGTGTAGAACTTTGAGTCATGGTCAAAGTATTGATAGCAGATTAATCTCTTGTCCGACAAATTAAGAGATACCAGTATCAAGGAAAAAAAAATTAAAAAATTAGATATGATAAGACTTTTTTATGTATCAATTGTGCACTCAATTAAAAAAATTTAGTCACTCTTTTGTTTCATATATATAATATTTTTCTATTACCTGCAGATTTTTATATCTCGTCCACTAACCGCACGCTTCCAATTGAGCCTCTCAAATGTGATCAGTTTAGGATCACAAATATTTTTAGTTGTAACTAACCCCAATACAACTTGTAGAATAAAGTAGTATTATCTTTATACATTCTTTAATGATTTAAATATCTTTCTAATTTCTATAATATATTCTTTTTTCTAAATTTCAAAAAAATTTCCTTCGCAAGCCAGCCTAAATTATTATGCCTGTTGTGTTCATTAGTCATTTTTGCGAGCCAACCTAAATGTTGCATTCTGTGTGTTGCGTTGTATATGCATATTATAATAGTATTAATTTTTTAATAAATTAAGTGACACTAAAAATAAAATGATGTAACAAGATAAAATACATTTTGATGTGTAAAATTAACAAACATGTCATCTATTAACGGTGAATATTTAACAAAGAAGACTAAAAGTAAAATAAAAATATATAATACGGACCGAAAGTTAAACAAAAATTTATTAGAGATTAAAAATGAAAAAAAAATAGATATATTAAAGGGACAAAAGATATTTAAATCTTCTTTAATTTAGATATATCATTCATGTATGTGCATGACAGGCCGATAGAAAATATTATATTTATATTGGTTATATCATTTTAAATAATTTTCCCATTTTATGTATTATTTCAGTATATAAAGAAACCATGTATAAAGTGCAAACTACACTCAATAGCCCAAGATAGAAAGTCTCCAAATCAAAAGTGGTAGAAACACATACAACATGAACATTCCAAATGTGTTAATTGTTCCATTTCCAGCACAAGGACATGTGAATCCCTTGATGAACTTCTCACAAAAGTTGGTTGATCATGGATGCAAAATCACTTTTGTGAACACAGAATTCATCCACCAGAGGTTGATGAGTTCAATGGCCAAGCAAGAAAGCCTTGATGACTCACCAATAAAGCTGGTCTCAATCCCTGATGGTTTAGGACTTGATGATGACAGAAGTGATTTGGGCAAGCTATGTGATGCTATCCTAAGCACCATGCCTTTCATTCTTGAGAAGCTCATAGAAGATATTAATTTGAATGATGATGACAAAATCACATGCATTGTTGCTGATGTGATAATGGGTTGGGCATTGGAAGTTGGCAGTAAGCTAGGAATCAAAGGAGTACAGTTTTGGACTGCTTCAGCAACTATGTTTGCCTTGCAATACAACATCCCTATGCTCATTGAAGATGGCATCATAGATTCTAATGGTAAGTATATCTTATTTGAGAAAGTATTGGTTTGTAGTTTGGTTTTAGAAAAAAACTCTATATATTTTCTATTTCCTATTTCCTATTTTTATAACCATCTACAAAGATATCATCATCTTTTTATTTTATTTCTTATTTTTATACAAGAAACAATGTGACAATTTTGTTGTTATTTGTCAAATGAGAAAATGAATACATAAAACATTCTGTCAAATCAAACAGTTCTAACAGCTCCTTTTTTGTTTGGCACTGAAGGATTCCCAATTACAAAAGGGACATTTCAAATATCACCAAGCATGCCTGCAATGGACAAAGGAGCCATTTGGTGGTCAAATATCTATGACCCAACAACAGAGAAGAAAATATTCAAATATTTGGTGCACTGTATGCAAAACTCAAATCTGACTAAGTGGAGCATTTGCAACACCACATATGAACTTGAACCTGGAGCATTATCTTATGTTCCAAAGCTCTTACCAGTTGGTCCATTGTTGAGAAGTTATGACAATACAAATGGAACCGTAAGATCAATGGGGCAATTTTGGGAAGAAGATTACTCTTGCATAAATTGGCTAAATCAACAACCGCCTTGTTCTGTCTTGTATGTTGCCTTTGGTAGTTTCACTCTTTTTGACCAAAACCAATTTAATGAACTAGCTCTTGGACTTGACCTCACCAATAGACCTTTTCTTTGGGTTGTGCGTCAAGACAAGAAGATGACATACCCTAATGAATTATTAGGGAGTAAAGGTAAGATTGTTGGTTGGAGTCCTCAATTGAAAGTGCTAAGCCACCCTGCCATAGCTTGTTTTGTTAGCCATTGTGGTTGGAATTCTATCATGGAAGGTTTGTGTAATGGGGTGCCCTTCTTGTGTTGGCCATATTTTACTGACCAATTATATAACAAAAGTTACATTTGTGATGAGTTGAAGATTGGACTGGGATTGAACTTAGATGAAAATGGACTTGTGTCACGGTGGGAGATTAAGAAGAAATTAAACCAACTTCTTAGTGATGAACAAATAAGAGCAAGGTCTCTAGAACTGAAGGAGATGGTTGTGAACAACGTTTCTGAAGGCAGTGGATCATCAAACAATATTCTTAGATTTGTTGAATGGTTAAAATCTTGAAAATGACGATTGTCTTGGTCGTAATCATGCAGTGTTCTTGAAGATGGAAGTGTTTATTTTAATGGTCTAGTTTATCTAGGTTATGGTGTTATCTATCATGTTTTCTTTCATGTCTTTTGAACGTAGTTTGAACTTAAAAGTGATGCTGCCCTTTTCTTGTGAGAGTGATGCTGTCCTTTTAGTTATGCTAATTAAGCTAAGAAATTCATGATGTGAAATTTTTAAAAACGTGACATTATATATGCAAAAAATTTAATCACAATTATAAGCACGTGACTTTATTTCTTTATGGATAGTATTGTCTACATATATATATAGTAATTCTGTGCGTGCCCCAGAAAATCACTAGAAATTGGAAACACAGTTACAATGAATGAATCGATTTATTAGTTTAGGTTCTTATTACTATCAATTTGTTTTCTCAGTCCTCTAAGAAACTTTCACTCTCATTTGTTATTTAAAATTTAGTCCCTCCCCGACTGGAGAATCAGTACTCATAAGCAGATCACTAGGCTTTAGTGCTTTACTGGGTTCCTACATGTAACTAAACGAATCGGGAACCTGTCAGAAAACTACTAATTAGCCTATGAACATGTTGGGTATGAATATTGTTCTTCTCAGCAGAAGTCACTCATTTTCCCATGACTTTGCCTTTTCAAATCAGTGGCTACTTTATTTATGTTGAGTTAATTTTTCATCTTCTAATAACTTTTTTTTTTTGTTCGTTCCTGGAGTAGCAGTAGTGACTAATTTCCTCGCTACGTTGGAGGCACCTCAAAGGGTGGGATAGCTGGCCCCAAGATTTAACGCGGCTGCATACACAAGACAGGATTCGAACCCCTGACCTTGCTTAAGCGTGAATCAACCCCTACCGCTGAACCACACGCTTGGGGTTTCTAATAACTTATTTAAAACACTTACTTTTCATTATTCAATAACCAAAATCACAAAAATATTGATTATCAAAAATATTAATTACTTACTAAGCCTCTAAAAATGCTATGTTGTCATTATTTTTCTTACCAAATTCCAATATTTTCATAATTGCAAGTTTTAAAAACAATCATAAAACTCCAATTAACAAACTCGATCAACTTAATTTCTTCCAACTACATATATTATTTATAGAATAATGTTAACAATTACAATAATTATTATTTCAATAGCACAGTTTTTAAAATTAAAATAAATAAAATCTTACTTAAAATTAACAATAATATTAAACACATATGTTAAATAAAAATAATTTATAATGACTTAATAAAAAAAGTATCCAAAAGTATGAAAAATCAAAGTCAAATTATAATATTAAACCCTTATATATTAAATAAAAACAATAATCTTGAGTGAGAATGTTTCTCGGAATTTTTCTTTGACGAAAAGGCTTTTAAAAAAAATTTAACTACATAACTAATTCATTTTTTATTTATCATAATTATTTATGAATTAAATTTTAATATTTTAAAATAAATTATAAAAAAATAATTTTTTACTATAATACAAATTATTTATCAATAATTTATGTTTAAAAATATCTTTATTTAAAATTTGATTATAATCTATATATTCAAACATAATATTTATTTATACACATAATTTATTATTCATTTTAGTCATATATAATAAATATTTAGATTATGAATTTGGACATACTAAAATAGTATTTTAATAAACTATTTTAACTGGTTTAGAAAGACCTCGTTCTAAAGATGCTTCAAGTCTAGATACCCGTTGAGTTTACCCCTGAATCCGTTCATAAACTCGCATAAATTGGCCGAGAATGGATACAAAATCAGTTTTGTGAACATAGGTATCAAACATAACCCGAGTGGTGAACTCCGTTTTTTAGCAAGATAGCGTTAATAAATCATTTATAGCATTCATTGGAGAATACAAATAATAGGTGGTGTTGTGACTTATAAGTTATTGAGGAGGCTAGGAAAGAGAAGAAAACATGTATATCATGTTAGAGGTTGATTTCAGAAAAATGATCCTGTTAATTGGACTTTTTCTACGTACACCATGGGAAAGATGGGCTTTTGCAGTAAGTGGCGGGTGTAGATGTATGCTTGTATCTCTTTAGCATCAATTTTTGTGATAGTAAAAATGAGTTTGGAATTGAAAAGGGACTAATTGTGAACAAATGCCGCTGCACTGCATTCCATTCCCTAACATTGCAGTCAAATGTAGCTACAATTGCAATCAGACACCACAAAATCCGGTCAAAATCGCAGTTGCGGACCGGTTTTAAAAATCTTGATGGAAGCCACAGTTGGAATAGAATTAGATAAGGCAGTTGATCGTTTAACGTACAATAGCAATATTCTTTCATTTGACTCATCTAACTTATAAAGATTCCACTATTTTATCATTTAACTATATTCTTTTACTTTCGAATTCAATCTTCTACAACTATGGATAAAAACAATGGATACTATTTAAATTTGATTGGCAAGGGAGGATGCGTGGATATGTATAATGGTTGGGGAAGGCTCGTGTATGCTTTATGATGGAGGACCAATATAGTCAAGAATTTCAGCATTATGATTAACGCGCTTAAGCCAGAAACAAACCAAATGAGGATCAAACTGTATCGCACATATAAGTAAATTATCTGAAGATTCTTCATGCAGAATGAGTTTGTGATATATAAATAATTTCAAGCGTTTACATCAATACACAGGACTTCGTCAACAGCGGATAAAACCCTTGGCATTGTGCCTAGACAAAATTGGCTAAAAACTTGAACCGTTCCCTACATATAAGAACTCTATCCCACCAACTCAAAAAAATTAATCATACTGTGGTTTAAGTTTACCTCACTATTGGGATTTCTGAAGAAATACAAAGTTTTGAGTCTGCTCCACCACTAATAACGCTGTCACTTTTCCACCAGTCAGCAGACAATACCTGAGTTAAACACATGACAATTCTATTAATGCCAATTTTGGCTCTTCTAGAGGTCTATCTAAACTTACTCTGTTCAATAACTCATATTTTACATCAAATTTTAATGATTCAACCGTTGAATTTAAAGTTCTTAATGCATAGATCAAATCTGCAAATTTTTAAAAAATTTGAAAACCATTTGATACTTCATTTTATTAATTCAAATCAATATATAAAATGATTTTATGATTATTCATCGATTTGAATTAATGAAATGAAGTATTAAATGATTTCAAATTTTCTAAAAATTTACAAATTTGATTTATGCATTAAGAACTTTAAATTCAACGTTTGGATCGTTGAAAATTGATGTAGAATATGAGTTATTCAACAGAGTAAGTCTAAATAGACTTACTCCTAGAGTAAACGGATCCCTCCTTATATATATATATATATATATATATATATGTTGGAGAGGTATTTTTTTCTTTTATGCTATAAAGTGGTTTCAAAGCTTTATACCTTGTCAGTGTGCGATTCGATGACTGAAAGAGGCCACTGCAACATCAATGGAGAAAATTATCAGTAAAAGGCTTAAAGATAGATATTTAATCAGGATTAAAAAATCATTGATACTAAGGATATGTTACCGCAGTTCTCAGATCCCACAACATAACTTTCCCATCATAGGATGCAGAAAGCAAATGAAACAAAGAGCTATCATGCCATTTGCAAGCTGAAACCCAAGAAGTATGAGAAGCAAACTGAAAAACAGGAGCAGAAGTGCCTGCAGAAAAAGATAAAATGTTCTATAAGATACTAGCAATCATGTGATTGTGGGAGGTGAGAGAAAATGATAAATTAACTTTGTTTAACCGACCTGGTTTACGAGGATCCCAAATCCTAAGAACAGGGTCAGAACCCCCAGCAGCTATCAGAGCAGAAGCTTCCCCACCAATATCAAGGCAGTTAAGAGCCTTCCCACAGAACTATTATACACAGAAAACAATCTAATCAATTTTTAATTTTTTTTAAATTTTGTTACCCCCACTTGACTACTTCTGATAGCCAAACATAACCATTTTCAACAATGATTTTGTCCAGAAAATGATTTAGAATAAATGAAGGAAAATAATATTAATAAATAAATTAATAACCAGAAAACATTGCATTTATCATAATGAATCAGATTTATTCCCACCACAGTCTTCCACTTCATCCAGCACAGTAAGCACTTCATTTTTTTAGATGAAAGAACATTAGAGTTGATTCAACATACCCCTCCAAAATTAACATAATCAATTGCCAAAGCCAAGATTGCTTCATAACAACACAACTTTGGGCTACCAGAACCACGTAAAAACAACATATAATTAGCAGTTAATTGAGGTAAAAAATGTTGGAAGATTTAGCACGACTAAATGTAAAGATTAGACAAAATCTTATCCAGAGAAAGAAATAAATTTCGAAGCTACTAGAACAAGAATTAAAGAAACACAGATTTAACCTTCATACTTTCATAACAAGAACATGAGAAGAAAAATGATAATCATGCCCTAATCCAATAATAGTTTAGTCACCTAACTACAAACAAATAATTAATCAATAGCAGAGCATCATCAGGTAAAAGTACAATTTTAAACAAATCGGAAAAAGGGAGCATCCATTTTTCAACTTACTATATCTGTCAAGTTTTTGCCGGTCTCAACATCCCATTTCCTAATAGAATGATCCCATGATGCAGAATAGATAAACTCTCGTTGTGGCCAAACCACAGAAGATACACACTGTGTATGGCCTACAAGGGTAGTAAATGCCTCTCCCTACAATACAACAGAATAATATTGATGAAAAACTATTTGTCAATGAAAACTAAAGATTAATACATCAAAAGGGAAAGTAACAACAATTTAGAGGGGAGAAAATAGTAACAAAGTCTACAAGGTTTAATTAACAATTTTACAGGACTACATAATATTAAAAGAATTTTGAACTTGACACAGAATTATATGGTCAAATATCTTCTAGAATAGTTTCAAAAACATCTTCTTTGTGGCCTCCAGCCTCTGGCACAAGCTGAAACAGTACCCTTGCTACTTCGCATTCAACCAGTAGAAAAGACATACAGCAAATCATCACACCGGCATCCTTAACATTTTACTATTCCACTCGTCAATTACAATACGCAGAGAAAGAAGAGTAAAATGTCATCTCTGATGATCCCTTGGAAGTTAAAACATACTTCTAAATATAAAATGTTGGAAGAAATATATTTGTGACTACAAAATTTCCAATTTCAAAAGCACAAGAAGATAAACAAGGTGTAAGGAACTTCTACAAACCTCTACTAGTGACTCCTCAACTTGACCTCCAACTTTTCTCTTCTTAGACACTAGGTCATCTTCCGCAGGGAAGTCATTAGTTTGCCACAGATTGATGGTACAATCCCAAGAAGCCGAACACACCTATGTATGAAACAAGAGAAGAAGACTAATGTTACAGACCACTATTACTTTACTCATAAGTCATAACCCAAGGAGAGAAAGGTGGGATGTAAAAAACGAAAACCAAATACGAACCATTTCTCCAGAAGTCTGTGCTGCAACAGTCTGTACAGAAGACTTATGACCACGCAAAATTTTGTAAGCCCTAACCCTCATAGGATGGTTTACAGGCTCCTCTATATTAAGCTTTCACAAATGGAAAAATATAACATAACATAGTAAGCATAAATGCATAATCACAGTATGAGGAACTGTAGCACAGCAGCTTCTTTTGTTACCTTCCATAGCCTCAATGTCCGATCTTTTGAAGCAGTAGCTACCGTAACTGTTTCCATACCTGATTACAGAACAAATCTTGATATCTTAGAATAATAAAATAACAATATTATGGAACAATACGTAGATTACACAAAGAAATGAGCACAAATGTTTGTAAAAGGCTTCCCCACTGAAAACCCAAACATGACCCTTATGCAATGTTGTAAAAATTGTGCTTCAAAGCCTTCAACACACAGGATTGTTCAATCCAATATGTTTTGGCCTCTCAAGCATTCCATGCCCCAACCAGAATGCATTCCACAGTAGAATTTATTTTTCTAATCTATGTTACTTTCTATGCGCATAAAGACAATCAGACATACACACGAACATATATAATTTTGCATTTTAATTGATTCTTACAACTTGTTTTGCAATCCTAAACCCCATTCTATTCCAACACGGAAACTCAGTTTTGACTAACTTGCTCTGATGCATATATAAGCATATCTTATGCTATAAATGAGAAGTATTTTTAAAAAAAATTAAAACATTGAAATACTAACTAATGAAAAATAAAGCATACTCATCCCAATCCTATAAAGGAATGGGGAAAAAACAAAATGTAAATAGCCAAATTACTAGAATGACTTTGAACTTGATAGCCAAGGCAAAATAGCCATAATCTTCTTTCTTATACTGTTAGATACAAACTTTATCATCTTCTCATCAGAAATTAATTAAATATCAACAAAATTTTGACAACTGGAAATCAGAAAAGTAAACAAAGTTGGAAGTCTGTGGTGGAATAGACTTGTCTCTATACCTTCTGGATTAATGATACAAACAGAAGTGAGCGCATCACTATGTCCATCCAATATATGGGTACATATTCCAGCACCTTTCCACACCCTAAAATAGAATTTAATCATATCATAGTGGAAGCCCAGTAGATGGAGAAAGTAATCAAATGATAATATTAATCAATAATACAATGTGCCAATAATTCTAAAAGAACAAATCTGTGCAAGACTATTACCTCCCCAAACCATCATAACATCCTGTCAAAAAGAACCTGCAGAAATAGTAACACTAACTTAAAATTCTAAGTGAAGGACATACATGTAAAAAAATCATTCAACATACTAAATCAGAACCAAAATAATTATATTTTAGCCAGTGAAAATTTCACAACGTCACAAGTTAAAAATAAACTAAAAGGCTTTACAATAACACTGGCCAAAACATTGTTAAAAAATATATGTATATATATAAATATTAAAAATAAATAAATAAATAAACTATTCACAAAGAGGGTCAGCTTCTGTCCTCTGACAACTGCCACTATCAATCACAATGTAAAAATAAATCTCAAACATTGAACATCTGAATCTGATAGAGATGATGTACTCAAACCCTATATTATCAAAAGTTTAGACCAATCACTCTTGCCATCATCACCAAATATGATTAACAAATTAAGGGAAGGGCCAATAAAAACCAATCAAACTAATTTAAATTCAATCTTCCAACTGCAGTAAAATCTTTCACAAACAATGGTTAAATAAAAGGAGCTTCGCATACAAATATTGGCATATTTCTGGTTGACAGCATTAATAAACATAATAAGAGTTAATAGAGAACACAAACTAGGACCATTATGGAAGGGCTGAATTGCTAGAAGTCTTTGAGAAATTTCCCATCAAAGTATTACACATTTGCAAGCTTACCGAGAAGAAGAACCATCAACAGCACTGACCCAGTCATCATGTAAAGAAGGGTCTTCCTCCTTTCGTGGGGCCACAGCCCTTATGTACTCAATTTCCAATATCCTTTCCTATAATTGATCATTCAGGACAGTTAGCTATGATCCTATGACATCACAACAAAAGGTAACAATGGTTTTTTTCCTATGTTAAGAAACATAAATTAAAGAAATGGACAAGTTATTGTTTGTATCCCAATTTCATTCCCTGAAATTTCAACAACTTCCTTGTAAGAGACTAAGTGGCATAACATAAAGTTGTATATTATTCAGTTTCCCATGAATGAAAGCTAAAAAAAAAATTTAATTTGTGATCTGCGTTGAAGTCACATAAGTACAGAATTTTCATGAATATCAGTTTTCTATATTTATAAAAATAAATAAATAAATAACTATAGAAATGTTGAATACACTCATTGCAACCAATTATCTTAAAGACAACTTAGCAATTGATCAAAGTCCAACTGAGTCACAATCAATCAATACAGTGCAATTGTCACCTACCACTGTTACACCCATACTGTACTACCACAACCTGAACTACCCCATTAGAGGAACGAAACCTGGATTGCCTTCTATCATGTTTCACATTCACGCTGTTAACCCTGAAGTCACTCACTTATGCTAAGGTTGGAAAATAAAACCAAGGATGGAGATTTAGCTTCCCTCCTCTATCTCTCACTGCAGGAAATGCACATCTTTTAGCAACAAGTATGCTACAGCTGCAACCTCCTTCACAACCACCCATTATCCATTGCATCACCACATTTGATACTATTTATGTAAACAAACTTATGCTATCAAAGCAGACCTTAACAAAAATTATTACAAAACTAAAATGAATCATTAGAGTCCAATAAATAATCAAGCACTCTTACGATCTTTTTGGGTTAATTTCTCCAAAAACACTTCTAAGAGAAAAAAAAAATGAAATAAGTTTCTCCATAAGCTAAAATTAGCTTATCTGTAAGATAATTTGTAGAAGTTATCTTCAGTAAGTTTATTTAAAATCTTATTTTTAACTTATGCAAAGCCTAATTTTAGCTTATAAAGTACTTATTTCAATTTTTCTTCCTAATTTTCTCTTAGAAATGCTTCTAAAGAAATTTATCCAAACATACCCCTAGTCCTACTTATCTAAACACCTAGCTCCCAAGCTAAATTCACATTTAAAACAACTCCACAAAATAAACCGCATTCTCGTACTACACAGATAAAATCAATTAGCAGTTTCACTTCCTATCTTACAGATACAATCATAAAATAAAAAGAGACAACGAGAAAAGCGTTTGTAATCGTTTTAAACTTATTACCGCAGATATTCCTTTGGCCAGAAGAAACTGCTCAAGCGACATCCGAACAAATTCTCCATCAATCAAAAAATCAAATGGCTCCGGCTCAAAATCAGCGTCTGCAAACATCAACCGGCAACAAGATTAACCGAATTTCATCAAGCATCTAAAATTAAACAAATTACAAAAAAAAAAAAAAAAAAAAAAAAAAAAAAAAAA